TTATTGGTGTTGAGCACTCTAGTTCACTACGCACAAATTCAATATTGAATATTATTATATATATATATATATATATATATATATATATATATATATATATATATATATATATATATATATATATATATATATATATATATATCGGGTGTCCCAAAAAAAAGTACTCCTGTTTGATTCGTAATAACTTCTAAACAATTAAAGCTTTTAAAGCGAAATAACTTGCATCAAATAGAGAAAGGACTAACTTAGATTTTGATATATTACAGTTGTATTTCACTTCAAAATTCACGGAGATATTAATCTTTAAAATCGGGAGCATATTTCTGGATGTGTCTGAAATATGCAAAAAACGGCGTATCAAATATTAATCAAGATTTGCCCGACTGAAACATGCACTATTACCAGTAAATAAACGACACTTAACAAATTGTTTATTATGAAACAAAGTATTATTATATCTACAAAATACAAGCAAGATTTATTCGTCCGAAATTCCCGTGTGTTCCTAGCACGAATACGTTTCCTTATTTCATGAGACCACTGCATCGCGAAGGACGTCATGGATCGTTCGTAGTTCTGAATTAGGGCATGCTGTCACAATGGAATTGTGAAGCACTTCTAACTTCTGCAACGTTCTGAAATCTTGTTAGGAACACCCAACTCTTTTGCCGTTTCTTAATCTTGATATTAATCCATATATATATGGATATATACCTATTCGTCCCTATAAAATTGAAATTCAAATAACGACTGGGGACGAGTCTGCACCCTAATGCTTTAAACCTCCCAAACCATACGCGGTATGAGGAGTATCGTTAAGTTGAAGTTCTGAGAATTTCAGAACTCTTTCGCCTCCAAGAGATAACATATTTGTACCTATAATCAAATTTCTCATGAGAGTGAAACGCCATTTTTGTATAATCGTATATTTTAAACTCCAATATAAAATAAAAGATGTATGCTTTCACTGAACATCAAACCTCGCATCAGACTTTTAGTTCCACAAGCGAAACATTCAGTTTATATACAGTACATAGCCATACGGCATAGCCATAGGCGAAATTTTTCAGTTTTGACAGGAAAACTAATTGTTTTGCCGCGTTTAATGGTTGTAAAACTTTTAAAATGGATAAAAATTTAGTATTTTCGACTTTCGACCCTCGACTTTTCACCCTCGACCTCGACTTTTCACCCTCGACCTCGACTTTTCACCCTCGACCTATGACCCTCGACCTATGACCCTCGACCCTCGACCATTACCCAAACTCACTTGTACACACAAGAATCATAAAAATACATATGTTGAAATTGTTATTGTCAACTGTCAATTTCAGCTATTTTTAGACAATATGGTGTTAGCCAATCAGAATGCAAAATTGACCGGCCTAGACTAGGGCTTTCTCGTCTCTCCCTCATACGAAAGCCCTGGGAACGAGGTTGCGTAAATTATTCTATGTGTTCAACATGTGAATTACGAGAACTACCGCCACCCACTACGCACGCGCTACCCGTCACGCGCTACCCGTCACCCGCGGAAAATACCTGCCGCGAGTTACCCGGCAAGGTGAGTTACTCGCCTAGGTGGGAAAAACAAGCACTCTGTTTATATGGAACCGAGTTACTCAGAATTTGTCGCATGATTGCAGCATGACGCTGAAATGGCGCCAAAACAGAAAAAGGATTTAAGTCGTTTGAAACGCTAAAAAACATTACAAAATACAGTGAAAGTACAAGAATAGGCGCCGAGCAATTCAGGAAAACTTATCTATCGATTCGTATGTATTTTTGAGCTATTATATTTCAATGGCAGAGTACATACATTCTATCTCGGGCGGCCGAGTTACCCGGGCAAAGTGTTTACATGGAAAATATTCATCTGGCCTAGGCGAGATCCTGCCTCTTTCTGCCGGGAACTCGTCAAAGCGAGTTACTCGGCTGCATCATGTAAACAGTCACCCGGGATCTCGCCGTTGCCGAGTAACTCGCCTTGCCAGGAAACTTGCCTCCATGTAAACAGGCCCTTAATAATTTTATATAAACATTGTACAGTATTCAGTGGCAAGCTAGCCATGGCAACTGGTCATTTGCATGCTATACTGATAAACCTGCATCTATTTGAATAATGCAAATCATTAAAAACTTGCATAGCATGACCTGTTGCTATGGCTAGCTTCACCTCTAACAGTATTATAATTATACAACAGTAAGATGTTATAAGCATTGAAGATACTCATATAAAACCGCCCATGCCAAGAAAGTAGAATTAGAACTTTCAGCCGCCCTTCGACTTTGTGCAAGATGTTTGATATTCAAATCACACTTTTCCTACCTCCTGAACAGGCTGTTTGCATGATGGAAGAAGGGATGATTTTGATGTATTAAAATATTAGTCACTAGGCTAAACAAAAGTTAAAACACTCAAATGTAGAGAAGTAGTTCAAATGTAGAGAAGATCTTGTGGTTCAAAAAGTTTCCATAATCCACCTCCAGAAAATAGTGAATTTTTTTGCTGAATCATGCATCGTGGCTTATTTAAGCACATCAAAATCATCCTGCCTCATATCTCCTGGCAAAGCGGGATGATATAAACAGTCCCTTATTCAGCAAATTGTGCATGCTGCCTTTAATCCCTTGGGGGTAAGGCAGCATTTTCCTTGCGATAGTAACTTCTAGTATATTTATATACTCGGAATATTGATTTCTTGGTATATACAAAATTATTTTAAAGGTGCTGTCAAGTCCGTAATGTAAACAAACGCTTTGTTTACATTTCGAACTGCTATATTTGTTAAATATGATATAACAATGTCTAGTTTTTTTTCTTCCATCCGCAAATTTTGCAACCAACGCGAATTACAGATCATTCAGCAACTTTAATTGATAATATTTTTTTTAATTCAATTGAATATATTAAATTTAGTGGAAATTTGGTATATGTTTTGACCGATCATCTTCCAAATTTTCTTATTATTAAAAAAATCCATCCTAAAAAATCCAAATTTGAAGTGCATGTACGAGATTATTCCAAATTGAATGAAAGACGTTTCATTGATGAGATTGATCAAACTGATTGGGATCAAGCTTTGTCACTTACTACAAATATTGATGATATGTTTGATACATTTCATACTCGCGTAGAGGAGATTGTTAACAAGCATGTTCCTGTAAGGAAACTTTCCAAAAATGAAATTAAATTAAAAGATAAACCTTGGATAACCCAAGCCATTCAAATATCAATACGAAAAAAGAATTCAATATATAAAAAATATATTAAAACTAAATTACATAAGTATTTTTTGAAATTTAAGTATTATAGAAACAAATTGAACCATTTAATTAAAATAAGCAAAAAACAATACTATAATAATTACTTCTCCACTATAAACAATGACAATAAGAAATTATGGAGTGGTATTAAGCAGATCATGGCTAATAATAACCGAAACAAGATGGCTCCTTCAAAATTGATCATCGATGACCAGGAAATAATTGATAAGAGATCCATAGCTAATGCTTTTAACAGTTTTTTTTTCAAGTATTGGTATGAAATTGGCAGAGGCGATACCAAGTGCAAAAACGTCTCCATATGATTATCTCAAATATCAAGATGCAGGAAGTTTCTTTTTATCACCAGTTACTTCCACTGAAATAGAAAATGAAATTTGTTGCAATATTCATAAAAACAATTATAAAAATATTTGCATGCATGTATAATTAGTTAGTAGCCTATTTAAGCCAAGTAAACATTTCGTATTATTAGTTAGCTAAATATATCGAAGTATGTTGTAGTTGGTTTGTGTGCTTTTTGTCATATAACGAAACATGGTGTCAGGTGTGGGATAGTGACAAGCACAGAAGCTGCAAATATGTCTGATACTGAAGAGATGGAAAATCTAAACGGGCCAGAGTCAAGTACAATGCCAAAGGGCAAGATACAACAAACGACACAAGCTTCGGTGTCTATACCGATAATTCCAACAGGAATTTCTGCTCCTAAACCACTGTTGATGGAAGGAAACATGGCAGCAAATTGGAAGAAATTTCGCCGAGGATGGGAGAACTATGCAATTATTTCTCGGCTCGAACAATTCGACGAACGTTTCAAGACGGCGTTGTTTTTGTCAGTAATTGGCGACGGGGCGATGGAAGTTTATGAAGGAATGCATTTCGCAGATAGCGATGACAAGCAGAAGCTAAATAAAGTTATCGAACAATTTCAAACCACATTTATCGGCGAGACCAATGAAACCTATGAACGGTTTATATTTAATAGTCGCGATCAGAAAGATGGAGAAACAATCGAGCAATATATTATTGTGTTGAGAACTTTGGCACAATCGTGTAACTTTTGTACTTGTCTGAAAGAAACCCTGTTGCGAGATAGGGTTGTTTTGGGTGTTAAAGACAATTCTGTTCGAAAGAAACTCCTACAAGAACGAAAGTTAACATTAGCAAAGGCCCTAGATATTTGTCGAAGCAGTGAGACGACTTCCAAGCAATTGCGAAATATGATAAGCCTTAATGAGAAGTCAATCGACCATGAAATCAAAGCAATTAGAGAACAATGTCAAGGAAATCGGCGTGGTGACCCTTCAAAATCCCGCGAGAAAAAGCGTTGCAAATATTGCGGGGGAATGCATGAATTTGATAAGAATTCCTGCCCAGCATATGGAAAGTCGTGTAAGAACTGTGGTTTTCGCAATCATTTCTCAAGGGTTTGCCAGAAGAAACGGAATGAAACTACACGATCGGTCAAGGAGATTACCAAAGAGGTTTCTAGTGACTCTGGTGATTCAGTGTACACAGTTTCCGTTTTGCCTGAGTTTCCGGACGATCAAGAGGTTTTAGCGGTGCAAACAAAATATAAACAATTCAAGAGTAAAATTCTAACCGTAATGAACATTAAAGGGGGAAAAGGGACAAGTTTTCAAGTCGATACGGGCGCCACTTGCAATGTGATTAAACAGAAGGACCTGTCTGGGACGAAATATATGAAAAAAATGAAGAAAACAAAGCAAGTCCTCAAGATGTATAACTCCTCCATTTTGAAACCAGTCGGTCAGTGTATGGTGCAATTACAAAATCCTGAAACATGCAAGAAGTACAAGGTTGAATTTACGGTTATAGACGGTGAGAACTGTACGAATCTTCTAGGTAGTCGAGCAGCACAGCAGATGGGTCTTGTTAATGTGAATTACGACAACATGAAAATTCTGTCAGAGTCCGACCAGAAAGGGGATTCACATACCACGATGACGTCATCAGAGTCAAGTCCGACGGAAAGGTCGACGCATTCCATATTGACCTCTCCAGAATCAAGTCAAACTGGATTGACCATGGAACAGATCACTAGCGAATACAAAGATATTTTCGAGGGACTGGGGCAGCTTGGACCGAAACTCCATTTGGAACTAGAAGAAAACGTGAAACCTGTACAACAAGCAGTGAGAAAAATACCTGAGTCCATGAAAGATCCAT